TCCTTTGTGCAGTCACAGCAAACACAGTCCACAAAAAAATCGTTTAATACGCAACCCGGCATAAAATGCGTATAATTCATAATCCTACACCGAACTAAAAAAAAAATGCCAAATTTTCTAGATGTAACTTACGCCTCCGAAAATAAGTCCCATGGTCTATTCTTATTCATTGTCTATGAGTAATTCAGGCCTGTACGTAAAATACCTCACAGCAACTCTTGATACGCCTCAGTTCATTGCCATTAGTACAATTATCTTGCAACAGCTCAGACATGCAGCAGAACGAGAATACGACATTTCAGTGGGTAAAAACCAATCGGAAGGGCACTGCATACATGACAATACCATCACAGGTCAGTGAAGACAGCAAATTGCAATTACGTCTTGTGGAATTATAATTTGACTTTGCTTTGTTCTGTTACTTTATGTAGGTTAAAACTAGACATTGCAGGTAGATTATGATCGTCTGAGATGAAAAGTGGAGGCAGCATGTTCCTCCGAAACGTTTATGCACAACAAGAAGACTACACACTTTTCTAAACACATCAAATTATAAAACGAAAACACGGCCCTGACATTGAAAAGAAGGTCTGGACCCAAATAAGCAACAAATGAACACATAGACGTGTGGATTAAATAGTTCAGCATTATCTAGCGTTTTACAAGTCAGTTCTGTAATACTCTAAAACTGTCTTAAGCATCATCCAACTTTCCCCAGGGACAACATTTGTCATCTTCCCTCTGCTTCCTCTCAACTTGCACAATTCTTCAGTGTTCTTCATGCCTCTCCTTTCCTCATTCATACAACATTCGGTATATTCCTATGTGTCATATTTTATATCCATTTTTACTGCATCTCGTCTTTAATATTATCATCATGGCCAGTTCCTCTATCCTTTTGCGTGCCTAATTGGACTTCCCTTCAAAGTGTAATAAGAATTTAGACCTATACGATGTGTCATGAATGAATTGACTCTACACCGTCTTCTCGTGATTGGTTGTAGTAAAATTAACTGTCGCAACTTTACAGAATTAGTATTAAGAGTAGATACAACAGATTTTTTCGAGACAGGTGATAATATTAGGCTACATCGAATAGGAAACAGTAAGATGATATTTGTAGTCGAAAGAAAATCGAAATGTCTTACGATCGCGTCCCATGGTGAGCTTTTGTATTAGCGGCGCTGAACTTTGGAGTTGTGCTACCAGTGTTAGTCTCAGTCTAATGGCAGACAGCCATCTGAAGAAGGGAGCACAGAAAATAACTGTAATGTCCCATAATTTATTTAAAATATATCTTCTAGAAAATTATGATATTTTAACAACGGTAAAAATGTGGATTGTGGTCATCTGGGTTGTTACGCCGTCTTACAGTCGTTAACCAAGGTTTCGAAGTAATGTGTAGTCTTCATCTTCAGTAAAGATCACGTACTCCGAAAAGATGGTAGCCGCCTGCGAGACTACACGACAACATTATTCTGGTGTTACCTAGAAACCAGTTAACCAGACGTAATTTTTTTTTACTATCAGAGTCAAAATTGTTCTCAGCGACTTCCGGTGATGGTAGCTTCAAACTGACAGTATGCTCGTGGTTTGCAATGTATGAAATTTGAGGTTTTCACGGCTGTAAGGATCACGATGACGGTCTTCTGGGTTCTGACGCCGTACGAGGGTCGCTCATTAAGTAATGCCCCACATTTTTTTCCTCAGAACATATTTATTCAAGATGGCTCAAATTTAGTGACAATATAAATCAATGTTTCCTTTACACGCCTCCATCTTCAGCCCCGAGGCTGTAGAAGAGTACGTTTCTCCGAAACGTTGACGTCTACCGACGAGGCTGCACGGAACCAGAACCCATAAGAACGAGCAAAGGAAGTGTATTCCGTGTCGGAATACACAGAATATCCTCATGCGTTCTTTGCAACGTGCATTTTGGTTTACTAAATCCGCCTTCTTCGACAGTTCCCACTTTGGCCACCATATCGCACCTCATTGTCTACCTCACGAATTTCTTCACCCGTCATTTTCTTATTATTCTGAAGTCGTACAGAATGGCACAAGCTCTGTATCAAGATTTCAGTGGTTTGAGTTGAATCGACACCACGACGGACGGACGGACGGACAGACACTAGCCCACAATGCGTTCTCCCTATGCAGTTCGTCCAAAGAACGCATGAAAGAACAACGTGGTTTGCATTATTTTAAGTACCGGTAGCTGCCAAAACATTAGCAAATACATCCACAAAACACTGCCTTTTATTTCTTAAAAGTGGCCAAATTGGGGGTTAGGGGAACAGCAGTCGATGTAAGACTACTTAACGCTTCAATGTTACCTGTCCTTTTACTAAATACTAAGGACACATAACTTGTTTTAAAACAGACTAAACAAAATACAAAAAGTGTCACAAAACGATTTACCACGACCGAAATCTGGAAGCTAGAGAACTGGTTTAGGGTACAATTACAAGCCCCCCCCCCCTCACCCAAAGCAGATCCTTGGTGCAGAAGCAACCGAAATTTTCAGCACAAATAAGACACCACGGATACATAAAACCAAAGATCGTAGTCAGAAAAACTGGATACACAGACTACACCTGGACCAATTTCAGTTTCAAACCTGTACTTGAGACTTTTAAGTAAATTTCTCTCCACTTCGAGAAAACTGGTGCAGGGAGTCATTTTCCTTCACATAACATTCTCAACATTCTAAAGATGTGGACGGTGTTTGTCACGTTATCTACAGCTCGAATCGTAATTCAGTGTCGCCAAGGACATCCGGGGTCATGACATTAGTCGCTTGTTATTTTGAAATGCTTACTTTTACACTGGTTTTCGGACTTAATAATTTCTCGCCGATCATCGTGGCCGATTAGTTAAAACTCCTGATTCCTATTCGTGAGGTCCCGGCTTCGAAACTCGGCCCGGGACCAGCTATCCAGACTGGCGAGTTTCGTGGTTTTCCTCGGTCCCGAAAACTAAAGGCTGGGATGGCACCTTAAAAATAGGCCACGACCGCTTCCTACCACATCAATTCCAGTTCATTAATCACTATCATATTTTCATTGTACGCTATACAGCTACTGAAAAAGCGTCGTTAAATAAACTATAAGTAAATAAAAAAATTCGTAACTTTTATCCTTAAACGTATGTACTTTTGTAGTTATTTGTGTTATATTTAATGACGACGTTATCAAGTTAAAAAAACATGAAGCATTACTATTAATATGTCCTTGAAACAGGCAATAATAATTTTCAAGGGCGCTCTAATATTACGTATTTTTTTTATTAGTGTTCTGTCTGACGCCAGGTCCATATGAACAGGATCCTTCCATCCTTTTCTCGGACTGGGACCTGTTCATATACGTTCTTGGCAGATGATCCAGAAGTGGTTTGCCATTGCCTTCTTCTGTGTGTGAATGGAGTAATCGTTGGGATGCCACGGAGAAACCGGGGAAGCCCCCGGAGGAAAACTCCGTGTTGCCTCGACCACGGCCTTGCCCAACACAAGTTATAAATTTTGGGCACCGCCGGGAATCGAACCCGAGACCCCAGGATTACAAGGCCAGCGTTATAACCGCTAGACCACCGTGGCGGTTAATATTACGTAATATACAAGAAAATGTTATCAATATTTTGTTAATAATGTACGGACAGATATTTAATCCCGGGTGAATTAGGTCAGACCTAAATCAGTATACCGACATATTGCGGAGCTGGAATATCAAAGTGCGATCCCCGAGAGGGGACAAGGATGAGCATATTCTTCTTCGACGCCACGCCCAGACCAGTGAAGTGGGGAGGGGCACCCAGCGTCCTCTCCAGTCCTTATCGGGTGCATTTTCCCCCGGTTTACAGCTGCCGTCTAGTCCCGAGGTAGGAGCGCATGGACCTACGTAAGTTTTTGAGACACAAACAAGACAGTGAACTGTGATGTCATGTGGCTGGTAGTGATGCAACACACTTCTTCACCAGGGCAGTCGTCCAAATTCGCGCGCTTGAACATGTGATTTGATGACGTGACCGGAGACCTTGCTCTCATAAATGTCCCGATTATTTTTCATCAGCAGAATTTCAAAATAGCAAACAATTACATAAATTACGATGAAAGTTTCAAAGTGCAATGACTGGCCAGCAATTTTATGTGGAGCTTCGCATGACATGTTCTTACACCTGTAACACAACACGGGAAAAGTGCCCGAGACGCTCTGGTATCATTTCAAACCCGGTCCTCTATTGCCCCCACTTCGTTCCCCGACGGCATTACTGAATGTGTGCACGTTACGACGGAACATAACAATTAATTTGTTATGTGCCTTGTAAAATATTTTGTAATTTATTTCTATGAATTTTAAACTTTTTTCAATTAAAATACATTCAGAAACAGGCCCTTCACATTGTACATATATCGAAGACCTGTCAGCTCATTCTAATTTGCTCTACAAAAGTTTTAGTATTTTATTTATCAGTGAATACATTAAACTTTGGGCAAGCTAAAAATAAAAATAAATAAGACGAATGCATAAAGTTCTCATCAAAATATTTTCTTTTACAAATTCCCTCCTTGTCAAAATATTATATTTTTCGTCTCAAAACATTTTTGGATTCGAAGATCAGAAAACTCAAGATATGTCGAAAGCTGTTAGTAAACGCTACAATTACTCGACGGGTATAAAATGTAAGTTTTCACACCGGTCTATGCTGTAAAAATGTGCACATAATTTTTGTTGACAAAACACATGGATTTGGTTTATTAATCAACAACAATCACTAACCATTATCCCGAGCTCTCAGCCCCTATATTTCTCTCTCTCTTTACCTGTGTCGGCAAAGCATGATGACTTGCCACCAACAACTGAGAACAGCTGTCTGCAAATTCGCGGTCACTTCACGCGGGGCGGATGGACAGGGGCAGTTCTTTACCTGGGGTGGTGGAGGTGCGTGGGGTACGGGGTGTTCCAGGCACGTCGAGTTCACTGTCTCCGACGTCCTCGTTCCACGACACGGACCGTAGTTGAGCAGGGGGCGCCTTCCTAGGAGATCCAGCAGGCCTGTCAGCTGTGCCGTTCATGCCGTATTCTTGCACGTGCAGCTGGAAACGAACCACTCAGCTCGACGGCGAGAGACCAACTGCTTCCCTCCTCTCGTTCCGTTACGTCACAGCTGATGCAATCGATACACGGTGTGACCAATCGCAGAGCTCCTATTATTTCAACACCACTTGCTGATAGTTCTTATATTTCCAATTACATTGAAGGTGGTTGGACACTGTGTGAATTCAGTGTTCGTCATTGCCACATGATGCTTGATGAATGGAACCGAGAACGGGAAACCCCTACCACGAGGTCTTGCACAGTATGCTGACATTCGTCTGGTGCAAACTTAGACCTGCGTTGCACTTCGAGGGCAGTGATTCATATTCAACTCTGTGTTCGGAAGCCTCACATTCGAATTTCGGCCCAATATACCACCTATAGTTGCTGATGGTCGTCCTCAGTTGCTTTAAATAAACCCCGGAAACTTTTATAGCTGAAAATGGGTTATGATCGCTACCTTCCATATCCCCCTCAGTTATCACTGTTAATCATCCTATTCCTCTGATGTTGGAGGCAGCAAGCATTGTCTCACTCTAACAAAGACTCATTTACACATGTTCAGTTTTATCTCATGCGATGTACAGCAAGACAAACAAGCCTAAAATAAACGATTAAATGACGCCAGAAAAAGAAAATTTACCAATTCAAGAAGATACGCAATTATAACCGAAGCACAAACCAAAATGAGAAGAAATAACCTCTGATGGGGGGGGGGGGGGACAGAAAATCAACGAACATCTTTAACAGCTTCGGGTGTGACCTGAATATTCGTATAACGAACAAACCTTAAGACATATCTCGCTGCCTCAGACTAAGAAAGTCTTAAGCCAATAGCCTATTCATTGTATTAGGGTAATAATATTCAGACAAGAACATACATGGGAGAGATTAAAAATATATACAAAATTTTGGTCGGAAAACCTGAAGAGGAACACGGGCGTAGATGAGATCGCCCTTTAATGAATGGAATATGGACATGTGAATGACATTCATCTGTCTCAAAATATTTATCAGTGGCGGGTTATTGTGTGAACACGGAGACGAATTTTTGGGCCATACAAAATGCGGGAACATCCGGTTATCAAGAAGAATTCTGATTGAATATTTAAAGCAGATTGGGGAGGTATAGGTACAGTTGTCTCTGGGCTTAATTTAGCTTAATTAATTATAAAGACAAAAGTTGAAATCAAAGCATTCTTAACTTCGGCCTTAAATCGAGTTTGGGTGGGCCCAGAGCCGGTTTGGACGCAGTAGCGAAGAGAGAAACACGAGGACCGAACCCCGGCCGTCCAGCCCGTAACCACAGTCGCTGACTGAGCTCTGAAAGTGGATTGTCCTTGTCGAAGACGACAGCTGCTTACGTGTTAATGATTACTGGAGGTGTTCAATCACACTTTTACCCAGCTATGACGACGAATTTGTTAAGTGGTCTGAGAATTATAGGAATATCTTACTTCAGTAATGGATGTTTAGCAGTAGCGTTGAGGCGCAAGATTTTGGTAAACAATGGTCCAGTGTTACCCTAGGTCTATAGAGTTACTCTACTTGAAATTCAAACCAAACTTGTTCAATTCTCACCGTAAGAAAAACTTATAAAACTAGAAGACGTAAAATAGGTTAACACCCAAAGACCTACAGTGTTTAATTGAAACGTACTTTGATATGCCTAATAAATAAAAGATTGTAAGACTTGAGGTTCTCACAGCGGTGAGATTTTTTTGAAATTTTACTCTTAAGCAGTGGTTAACTGTAGTGTAATAAGCTTAAAAGTACAGTTTAAATCTTCTGTAAGTTATCAAGGCCTATGAGGCAGATACACAACACCACAAAAAACGCAGAGAAATTTGTGTACTATTGCTGATGTAACTGCGGGGAAATTCGACACGTGCCCTTCATTTCTTATCAATCATTCTTGTCCGAAAGCTCTTCATAGGCCTGATCATTCGATACGTATCGTTGACTACCAAAGGAAAAATATCATCCCTAAACCGAAGAACATTTGTCTTTACGGTATCATCTAGAGTAATCAGTTTCAATTATATTCTTCAGGATTTTACCCATTCCTTTTGTATGAATGTAAGTATGACTTGGGTTCCCGTCAGTTTCTCCTTTCGCATATTCTGTTAAAATTGTGGCTTCTATTATGTTCCTACTTAAATGTTTATCCTAAAGTCTTCTTGTAAGATTACATCATTCTAAAGGAAAATTCTAGTATTAGAACAGTTGTTTCTTCGTTATTAGTTCATTTGTATCGAAACAATTATGGACCATAATTACTTTTCAATACACAAAAGAATGATCTTGACCAGAACTCTAGCCCATAACACTTTTTTCAGGTATGTGCCGTTCTCCTATTTAGCTTAGTTCCCGAGCTACAGGAACTATCCATACCGGGGCACGAACCCAATATATTTTATAGGAGTTTCAACCATTCTAAAATATCTTCCTGGTTTCAAGGCATAAGTGTGCCAAGTTTTGTGTAAATTGGTGTATCCGCTCTTGAGTTATGATCGAAAATACACATACACACATATCCGCAATTTCAGTCTTTTATAGAGTAGATCGGGGTAAGATGCCAATTTTTCTCCAGTTTGGAAGAATGCTGACAGATGGTGACACGAGGCGATGTGTCAGTCCCTGGCCTCAGTTCGAAGACAGGTAAATCATTTGTGCAGTTGCCCGATTGGTTTTTCGAGTTTAAGAACGAAAAGAGCGAGGTAAGGTTTAAAATGACCAGCTTAAAACTACCGAAGACGTATTTTAAAGTAATAATATTGACTACAATGCAAATATAACTGCAAAAACTGGTATGTTTAACACGTAACGCATTTATCAAAGAAAGTATTGTCAGTGATACCAGCTCTAGTGACGCTATATTAAGTCATGTGACTTAAGTGGCATCACACCCCGATCTTCGGGAAAGATGCCACTCTTACTTTTCTTGTATTTTTTATTTTTATACAGAAAATTACTAGAAACTATACCAGGGCCTCTAACAGAGGTCAGTGGAGTCAGGATAGCCTACAACTTGCCATGGAACACGTATGGACGGGAGGCATGAATTGTTTCAAAGTCTCACAAGAATATGTCATTCCGTACAGAACTTTGAAAAGACGCCTACGGAAGAATTATGCCGAAAAACATGGCATGGGTCCTCAAAGTAAGTAATATTTCAGTAAATATAATTATAAAAGTTATCGTAATATTAAAAAATTTTCAATATGACTTCCGTCCAAATAATTTTTAAATGCCTACGATTTTAATAGGTTGCCTCGGAAAAAACGGGGAGCATCTGGTGACCTACATAAAGAAACTAGAGGATTCAGGATTTCCGCCAACTGGAGAAACTTTACGTAAGCTCGCCTTTCAGTTTTCAGAAAGGAATAAAATTATTCACCGCTTCAACAGAGACAAAGGCATGGTAGGATGGGATTGGCTAGACTAATTTTTGAGACGATATCCTGGATTAGTTAGGTAAAAAATACTTCAAGGTCTCTCTACTGACAGAGCTATGGCCATGAATAGAAAGGACATTGATGACTACTTCAAATTATTATTGGATGTGTTGACAGAAAACAACCTGCTAGACAAACCTGGCCATATATACAATGTGGATGAATCTGGTTTTCAAACGAATCCTAGGCCAGACACTGTGATAACTGAGAAGGGCTCTCCGACACTGTATGAAATGACTTCTGGTGAATAGGGGGAGACATTGTCTGTGATAGCAAGCTGCAATGCTGAAGGCAAAAAGCCAGAATGTTAAGATTTTTTTCCCAATGGGTCAAATGTTTTATGTTTATGTAAACTGTACTATATTCACGCAGTGGCTGACCAGGACATGTCTTCCTCAGGAACTCAAACAAGTGGATCTTCAGCCCCACTAAATGCACAAAACGAATCCCAAACAACGCCATCTTTTGAAGACATTTCACCAGTCCCTATATTGGATCCACTACGAAAGTGGAGGAAAACATCTGCAGTATTGGCAGATGAGAATAATTTAAACCACGCAAAAATGCGTCGGCAGAAAGCTACTGCTTTAGCTGAAATATATAAAATCATGCATACAAACAAAACTGTTTACACTTTGAAAAACACTTTGTGACGAAAGATCTTTCTTTAAGGACTGAATTTACATCATTCTTACTTATCGCTTCTTCAGAACGCTGAGCCCCTATCTAGAGGACATGAGAATATGATCCATTTCATTAATTTGGTTAATACCTTCGTGTCCTGGTGGTTTCCACAACCATGGCAATGGACAAGATTGAAGAATTAATAAACATACTACACTCACCTAATACTTCTTCTTGGCACTAAGTGTTTTTCAAAGTGTAAAAGTTTTGTTTGTATGCATGATTTTATATACTTCAGATAAATATTCAACACTACACGGTATTCAAGGTTTTAAAACTACTGCTTTAGGACTAAGGCAAAAAAGATGAATGAGAATAAAAACTGTGTAATATGTAAAGCCAATTACTATGACATAAATGGGCCACAGGTAGATTGGATGCAACGGACATGTGATAACTGTGCTCATTAGCAATTAACACTAGATGATCATAAGAGAATAAAATTACAAGAAAATACATGTTGTTCAACATTGATTTCATATGTTTGATTCATTAAACACTCTGTTGGAATAATTATAAGAGAGTACTTATGTTGTTTTGCTCGGGGAGAGACGCCTAAAATGGCCGGGGGGGGGGGGGGAGTCACAAATAAATTATTTTTTGGTAGTGTACATTGGGTTGTAACTTCAAAATAATTGTCAGTGTACGTCACATTTATAACAGATACAAAATTTATAAAATTGTACCGGAGATGACGTTTAACAAAAAGTTAGGCATCTTCCCCGTTATACTCTATAAGAATTTAGAAATCGGCACCCATAAGAAACCCAATCGATCTATCTGCTTGTTCACCAATTACAGTGTTAAAGGCCCGTTATTTCCTTTCCCAGACTCCACACATCTGCCACTGTTTCTTGAACACAACGTTTGAAACACGCCTCATTTGCTAGCAATGACAGAAATAAGCCTACAGCA